AATTGTCCTCCCTTTTCCTTCTTCTTTTTCTCACATCGGATTCTGTTTCTTTTTTCTATTTTTACAGATTTCTAGCTACAAGAAGAATTCCCGCAAACATCTGGCGTGAAGAACTTTGTGGACAGACGATCGAGAAGAACTCTCGTGGAATATGGGACGAACTCCAGCGAAAAACTTTTTTCCAGCGAAATTTCGACATAATTCCATCAAACTCTTAACTCGTCGTTTTGGATTCCAAATCCGAGAACAATTTTTTCGCTAGTAAAAATTTTCTGGCGTTGAATCGTTATAAAGAATTAAATTGAGAGAATATTTTTATTATTATTTTTATTATTTTCTTTGAAAGCCGTGAGCATCATATGCTCTTTAGCAAGATGGGAGTCTTGTGAATTCATCACTTTGTTACAAACCGTATCCAACATATATATACATATATATGCTAATCAAATTGTAAATATATATATAGGGTCGCGCTCACATGAGAATGGTGCTTAATGCGAGAAATAAGAATAAATCTTAACCATCGGATCGGATGATCTAATGGCTAATAAAAAAGTCAACATTATACTTTCATTAAGGGTATTATGGACATTTACTCACACATCAATTAATTATCCACTAAGTTAATGGGCCCCACCAATGACACCTCACGTTTCTCTCTCCCATTAACTCTCCCTCACACGCCTCTCTCACACACTCATCTGTATCTCTCACACACACATCTCTCTTTCCCCCACGCACGCACACACACCGTTACACAAACATACACACACAGTGCCCGCCAGACAAACACCGGCGTCGTACTCCGATCCTCGCCGGCAATAGGCCTGACCGACTCCTTAGGAGGCGCCGCCCGTCCACCGTTTCAGCCGCGATGCCACGCAGCTGGAGCTTCGAATTGCCGCTGCTGAACTCGACGACTGGGACATCCTCCTCCACCCGAGAACCGGCCGCCGTTGTATCCTTCATCCTTATTCCACCTCGACGATTAAGGTGCAGCAGGCGCCAACACCGGAGAAATCGGCATACAACAGCACGCGACCCTTTTTTCATCCATCGTCTCCCGCCGCTCAAATTCCGACGAGAAGGTCGTCTTCTCCGGCGACACCAACCGGTTTACCTTTTAGATACACAGCGGTTCCTGAACCTGGCGGTCGGAAGTGGTCACTTCGGTGTCGTCGGAGAGGTCCCCATGGCCGGCGTTGCGAAGGTTTGTTCCAGGGAGGATGCCGACGGGCCGTCCACGCGGCGGCGTTTAACAGGAGCTTGGTGCTTGCTGATATGGACTCCAGAGCCGAGCCGGGATGGTCGCCGTCGCCGGAGATGGCATCGTAAGATCCGACGGAATCTGCAGAAATTGATTTGGGAATTAGGTCTCATTTGATTTTTATTTTTTTGAAAATTAGAGAATATTGAAGGACATATTTGCAATTTTATGAACTTTGAGTATTTTTAATTATGGTTCATTGGAAAATGGCAATTATGTGATTTATAGCAACATTGTGATAAATGCATATTAATGATGCTAAAGTGTACAATTATTAAATATTTTTATATTGAATAAAGTGTACAATTATTAAATATTTTACAACAATAATATAAAACATCAAAAAAAATTGAATACTAAATATATTTTATAATAATAAACAATAAAATATTTTAAGAATTTAGGTTAATTCCATGTACAATTATATCTATCAAAACTAATTTCTGAATACACATAATTTATCAAGTATCGTATAAATTAGTGCACTTTATAGAATAACGAGTTGCACTTTATAAAACAAGACGTTGCACTTTTTAAAACTAGACGTTGCACTTTATAAAACAACAAGCTACATTTTATCATCACACTACACAATTTGAATAGTTCTCGCCAAAATACCACACAAAATAAATCTAAAAAAATGAAGCTACATAATATTTTAACATGCATCACATCATTTGTTCACATAAAATACAAGCATGCTAACATACCAAAATTACAATAGTGCGCTTTATACATAAGCATGTTGCACTTTATAATACAAGATGTTGCATTTTTTAAAACAAAACGTTGCACTTTTTAACATCCAGCACGCCATCAATCCACAAAAAAATACAACCATGCTAACGTACCAAAATTACATTAGTGCACTTTATATATTAACACATTGCACTTTAAAAGGCAACACGTTGTACAATATAAAGCAATACGCTGCACTTTATCGCGGCTATCAGATCGTACAAATGGTGAGCGAAACTGACCGGACTCGAAAAAATTTTCAACCAAATACAATATAAAAATGATAAATAAAATTATTAACTTACTAAATATAATTTTAACAGAAATAGCAAAATATTTATCCCAACAATAACGATAAATTCCGAACAAGTTAAAATTATCAGTTAAAAAAATTGTATTTCAGGTTGGTTATCCGGCTTTACTTTTAAAATCACGGTTATTTCAGTTCGATGTTGGCTTTAGTTTTAAAATAAACAAAATAATTGAATCGACCATACATATTGAATAATAAATAAAATATTAAATAATTGTAATATAAAATATTAAAATAATGTAATAACAAAATAAAATAATAGATAAAATATTGAATAAATAAATAATATAAAGTAGTCACTTTATATATCAACACTTTATATAGCGGCACGTTGCACTTTATAAAACAACACGTTGCACCTTACAACAAAACACGTTGCATTTTATATCATGCTTTTTAAAAACATTTACTTACCATAATATAAAATATTAAATAAAAAATATAAATACTAAATATATTTTTACGATATAAAAAATTTGATGAATGAAAAAAATAATGATAATTGAAATACACAATATTGAAGTTTATAAATTTGAAACACATAAAAATATTCGATCGGTTGATTGCACAATAATGTTAGACGAATTGCACATTATTGCCTGCTCAAATGCACTTTATGGATTTTGATTTTTTTAGATTATATTTTCAACTATAAATATTATAAATTACTACATAAAAATATTAAAATATAAAATGTATTTTATAATATACATAATAATTAAAAATATTATGTAATAATTAATAAATTATAATAAAAATAATAATTGAAAAGTATCTTAATTATTTAGGTTAATTCAATGTACAATTATACACATAATTTATACATAATTTATATGGGAATGTATAAATTAGACAGTGCACTTTATATGACGGAATATCGCACTTTATAAAACAATACTTTGCACTTTATCACCTCATCTATATAAAGTAACATAAAAATGCTAACGTCCCAAAATTAATGCGTTGCACTTTATACAGTAATACGTTGTACCATATAACACAACATGTTGCACCGTATAAAGTCGTGTACGATATTGTTAATATCTGATAGGCTGTATATTAACACGGCCAAAGTCGTGCACGATATTATTAGATAAAATGAACATTAATGTCTCACATATTGCACGCTATAGCAATCAAACTAATCGAAATAAAATTTTCAGATCAAAATTTATATGTCGGTTCGATTATCATTTTATATTTTAAAATTTTGGTTATTACGGTTCAATATCAATTTTATTTATTTAAATTTACATATCAATATCCTATATTTATTAAATTTTAATAATCTAGTATAAAATATTTAAATTATTGATTAATTTATATTGTAATTAGAGTTTTTAAAAAATAGCAAATAACTCACAATAATTAATCTATTTGCAATTAAATACCCACCCAAAGCCACTTCATCCCCAATATTTGGAGTCCATCCCCAAATCTATCACATTCAGTCCCAAACAAAAATCACGACCACACCTCCCTTCTCCCTACAAATCACCGCCGCCGGATTGATTGTCCGTTTGCCGGAGGTGCTCGATTCAGCCGGCGGAGCTTGATTGCCGGAGGTGCTCTATTCAGCCGGCGGATCTTGACAACCGAAAATTGGACATCTGAATTTGACCGGCGACACACGGAGAGGAGATGGACGGCGCGGACAGCATCGACGATGAAGATTGACGGGTTTTGGCAGGAGCGGCTAGACGTCGGTGGTGGATAATTGCAGACGGTGGGTGTGCGGCGGCGGGCCTGTTTGCGTTGTGGCTAGGCAGGACCGCTGGTGGTTGTTGGTGTCGATGACGGGACCGGTGGTGTTTCGAGTCGGTGTCGGGGATGGTGGTGGTTGGTGGCTGGATTGGTGGTGGTCGTAGCGGCTAGATGTCGGGGTTCGAGAATTGCAGACGGTGGCTGTGCGGTGGCGACGTCGCTGTGCGGCGGCGGGTTTGTTCGCTGCTGTGGCAGGGATGGTGGTTGTTGGTGTCGATTCCGGGGCCAGTGGTGTTTCTAGTCGGCGGCGAGGCTGTTGGTGGTCGGAGGCTAGACTGGTGTTGGTTGGGGGCTGAGATGGTGGTAGTTGGTGGCGGGGCCTGTTGATGTCGGTGGCGGGGCCTGTTGAGGTTGGTGACGGGTATTCGGCGGCGGATTGCTGTGCGAAGGTGGTTTGGCTCCGGCTGATCTGTTGGTGGCGCCGCCGTGTGTGTGTGAGTGTGTGTGTGAGATTGCAGATGTGAATCGAGAAAGGAGATATGTGATGAGAGAGAAAATAGTTATTTAATTGGTGAGTGGGTCCCACATAAATTTATGTGTATTGACTAACTTACCCTAATTACTGGTCAAATGCACATATTTGACCGTACTATGATCAAATAATTACCAGAATGCCATTAAAGATTGACTATTTTTAATTAATTTTGACTTCATCATAACCATTGAAGTAGTAGATCCAATGATCCAGGTACATTCTCATTTCTCGCAATAAGAGTCATTCTCATATGATCCCTTACCTATATATATATATATATTATACATAAAAGTTGTACATAAATATATATATATATATATATATAGAGTTGGGATCCAATGAGAATGGTAGATAGTGAAAGAAATAAGAATAAATCTGTACCATTCAATCTATCAAATCAATGGTCATGATCGAGTCAAATGTCATTAATACCAGTCAAATATGTGATGGCATTGTTGTAATTAAATGTACAAATTATAGTAAAAAATTTACACGTGACCACTAAGTAAGGGTAGAAAGGACATTACGGAAATTGACAACTCATCATCCACCCATTAAAGTGGGCACCACCAATAACTCACCCAACACTATTCTCTCTCACATACCATCTCTCACACTACACACATTATCGTCCCTGCGCCACCACTCTCCGCCTACTGCCATCACCATCCACCGTGCCTCAGCCGTCCGCGCACCAGAGGCGACCGCGACAGAGACGTTTCCGGCAGAAAACCACCACCAAGACTGCCGCTTCGAGGCCGTGAAATTGGCCTCCACTCCGCCGTACAACGTCAAGATATTTCATCCACCTACCGTCTCTGCGCCACCACTCTCCGCCTACTGCCATCACCATCCGCCGTGCCTCCGCCGTCCATGCACCAGATGCGGCTGTACAAAGACGTTTCCGGCAAAAAACCGCCACCAAGACTGCCGCTTCGAGGCCGTGAAATTGGCCTCCACTCCGCCGTACAACGTCAAGATTGTTCATCCACCTACCGTCTTTGCGCCACCACTCTCCGCCTACTGCCATCACCATCCGCCGTGCCTCCGCCGTCCGTGCACCAGATGCGGCTGTACAAAGACGTTTCCGGCAAAAAACCGCCACCAACTCTGCCGCTTCGAGGCCGTGAAATCGGCCTCCACTCCGCCGTACGATGTCGAGATGGAATAGGGATACTCGAGGACCTCCGCCAAGGAATAGCCGGGTGACCTTCACTGCTAACAGACCCGACTCCGGCGAGGACGGCGAGCTGCGGGACAGATGAAAAATTATTTTTAATGTCGGCGGCAAAATTCATCTTGAGTAGGCCTTCCTCCATGTCCGGCGATGCTGCTTTAATCTGCTCCAGGTGTGGCGGCGGTCATGACGTCCAAAGAGATGATGCAATCCCTTGTGTGTTGTGTGGCTGTATCGACCGTGGGGCTGGGGAGGATTTTGAGGGGTTTTTTCTGAAAATTAGATAATAATAGGGGACTAATTCACAATTTTTAAAGTTTTAACATATTATAATTAGTCTTGAGTAAAATTATAATTTATCAAAAATTTAATTAATGCAATTTGATAGTTATTAATGTGCAATTTCATGGTCAATTGAACTAACCCAAATTATTAAAATAATTATAATTCATATATAAAAAATACATTTAGTATTTTATTATTTTATTTAATATTTTATATTATTTTTTGTTAAAAAGAGATAATGTATAAAATGCAGAAAGCGATATTGTGCATTCCTACATAACCTAATGTGCAATTTATCTAACATTAATGTGCAATCTATTGAGTGAGAATTTTTTATGTGCATTAACCAAAATATAAAGCCGACCTTGAACTGAAGAACCAAAATTTTAAAAATAACACGAGACAATTGAACCAAAATATAAGAATCGAACAAACGAATTTAGTTTGGTCCATATAGTGCAACATGACATTCAATAATGTGCAATTCATCTAACACTAATGTGCACTCCAAGTGCATATATTTTTTAATGGCTTAACCCAAACCAAACTAAAACAAGATAATCGGTTTAGTACTTGAGTGGTTAACTGAATTGCCCTAAATAACCTATAGTCTATATTTTAAAAACAATTTTAGCATTTTAATGTTTTTTGTTAACATATTATGTTTTTTTTTATTGTTGTAATGACCTACAATATACATATATAAAAAATTAATATATTTTTGCATAGTTTGGTCGATTCGGTTATTTTAAAAAATGAACCATCTTCGAACCAAATTAACTAACATTTTAAAAGTAACAACAAATAATCGATCCAAAATATAAATTCAAATGTACGAATTTAGTTCCGTCAATTTTATTGTCACTATATTGCAATTTGGCATTCACTAATGTGCAATCGATTTATCACTAATGTGCAATCAATTTATCACTAATGTGCAATCAAAAAGTAATTATTTTTTAATAATCTGACTCAAATCAAAGTAAAACCAATATAATCGGATTATTTGATCGATTATCTGAATTAACCTAAATAATTTATAATTTATATTATAAAAATATATTTAGTATTTTTTTTTAGTTGTAGAAACCTAAAACACACAAACACACACACACACACACACATATATATATATATATATGTGCAAAAAGACAACATTTTTTATATATTTTGGCCGATTCGATTATATTAAACAACAAAGTTGACATTGAATCTAGAAAACCAATTTTTTAAAAGCAAACACAAATAATCGAACCATACTATAAAATTCGAACCTAAAAAAACGCTTAGACCGCTATAGTGCAATCTGATAGTAATGAATGTGCAATCCGTCTAACACTAATGTGCAGTCGAATTGCAATTATTTTTTTTATAAAAACATATTAGTATTTTAATATATTTATTTAATAATTTATATTATCTTTTGTTATGAAAAATATAATATACATATGTATAAAAATATATAAAAATAATATTTTTTAATATATTTATACAAATTACATATTTAGCTCCTTGGCTAAATTGAACTATAACCAAAGTTCTTAAATTTCTTGTTAAATTATAGATTTAACCTAGGAACTAAAGTGTAATTTATATAAAATCATTGATATTGCCCTTAAGTCCCTAAGAATTAGCAAATTTTTAATAAACCACCCCATCCCAAAGTTATTCCCGTCAATCCATCTCCTCAAAACCTCCGCCATTGCCGCGGCCGAGCCGGCTGTCCCTTCTCATCCATGAGCAAACCTCACCGGCGGCCACTTACTCAGGGTTTTTAGTTTCGATTTTGTGTTCATCTGTTTTATTTTCAATTTTCGATTTTCAATTTTAGTTTTATTTTTTTCGATTTTGCTGGTATATTTATGTTCTTGCCGAAGTGGAATTTCCCTGAGCTTGACGGCGTCGGTGAGTTTTTCTGTGGGCGGCCGAATTTTGGCCTCCTAACGCTAGAGGTCGGATGTGGTCGGGGTGATTTGGATTGCGGCTGGATTTTTGGTCTTGACGAGACTCTGACTGGAGGGAGATGGCTGAGAACGACGTTGATCAAAGAAGTAACCGGAGTTTTCGGAGGCGGCGGGTGGAGGAGAAGTTGCGGTTTCCGGCGGCGGCGTTGACTGGAGAAGGTAACGGTTGAAATGCGGTTTTCGGCCGGCGGAGTGGCCCCTTCCGGAGTGACTGCCGCAGGAGAAGTCGGGGATTGGTGGAGCCGTCGGGTTTGTACGGCGACCGGTGGCGTTGGATGGCGGTGCCGGTGTAGCAGATCGGCGGAGGAGGCACTGTACGTGTATGTCTGTATGTGTGTGCGTAGTGTTTGTTCACCACTTCACCGAGAGTGTGTGTGTGTGGTGCGTGAAAGAGAAAGTGTCTGGTGGGTCCCACTAATGTGTTGGTGGGTTGGGTATTGCGGTATTGGGTTGGGTGTTTGGTGTTGGGTGGGGCCCGCTGAATATTGGATAGTACAATTACCACCATGTCCTTAAAGTGTTTAAAATTTGAGTTTTTTTTTCACCTCTTGGATGATGTGATCTAGTGGCTGAGATTTATTTTTATTTCTTTTACTGATAACGTCGGATCGAGTTGGTTCATATCTAGCCAGGCCGATTTTGGGTCCAGCTTTTGAGACCTGCCGACCCGCCGATGCAGTTGTGCACATACAGTCGGACTCAATATAATCTATAATTAAACATAAAATTTGATTATTTAGTAATTGCACAGTCGAGTCTAATATAAATCATAAGTAATTGTACAATATGAGTATATAGAACAAAAGGATATTGTTGATATATGAAAATGTAACCAACGATATTTCGAACTGTGTACTTGAATGTACACTCGGTACGGTCTGCACGAATAGAATTGTGTAATGAATTTGGAACGAATGCGTTGTTCTATCCGTGACTTCTCTTTATATCATTTACTAGCGCGTAGCCCGTGCGATGCACGGGATGATATAATTTCCTGAAATGTTTAACGTGTGAAATATTAAAAATAATATAATTTATATATATGTAACAAAAATAAATGGATTGCAAAGAAGGAAAAAAAATATAAATTATTGAACACTTTCTTTGTGAAGTAAAATTTGTGAAGCTTTGATATATTTGATTATGAATAAAAAAGTATGAAATACTACATGCTGACCGTTGAGATAGATGAGAAGATTTACTTAGAATATATAGAATAAATATTGAGATAATGATTTACCTTTTACCTAGTATATATAAAATAAATATTGACATGATGTGGGAAAATTATGACGAATTATGACATAAATTCGTTTAGAAGTTAGTAGAAAATATTCAAAAATTAGATTTATTTTTTATTTTTTAAATCCTTATAGTAATTCGTACGCTCCTTTTCATACGCTTAATTTATCAATTTTACACATACAAATCAAAATTAATGCAACTCGAAATATTATATAACAAATAAAATGAGATTTTTTATCTAACATTTAGTATATTGCCGGAAAATCTTTTATAAATCTTATTCTCTTTTTATGCACATAGATATTAAAGAATGAGTAAAAAAATTATCTAAATATGTTTAAAAGTATCTAATATTATATGTGTTAACAATGTTACAACCAAAAGACATTAAGAATACGTAGACTATTATATAACATATGTGAAAGTATTAAAATATTTTATTTTATTATTGAAAAATGTGAAATTACTTCAATTTTGTCTAGACTATTTTATAAAAAAAATATATATACTTAAAGTTAGCATACACACACACACACATATATATATATATATATATATATATATATATCCTTAAAATTTGCCCAACTAACATGTTTAAAAGTATATACAATTTTATATATAAAAACACGTTTAAAGTTACATATTTTACAAAAATTAGACTGCTCTCAGTTTATATAAAGTTTGTTGCTCTTATATTCGGATAACGCATTTAATGAAAGCACCCTACGATACAAAATTTATAAATATTAATTAAAATAATTTTTCCTACGATACAAAATTTATAAATATTAATTAAAATAATTTTCTAAATTATATAAAATTAAAATAACAAAAAGGTAAATATTACCTGTTCATCGTGAAAATGCGTTACAGCTCTCCCGTTCGTGATGGGTTTCAATAATGCGACTGCTCTCAGACGCAAAAAAAAGGTTTCTTTCTTTTGTTAACGGAATCAAGTGTACCCCAGCCTGGAAGCATAAAGTTTCTTTCTTTGGTTAACGGAATCAAGTGTACCCGAGCCTATTATATTGTCGATCTGAAGAATTGGTCTCTGTATTTTTTTTCTCTCAACTCGTGAATGATGAGTTGTAAAGGTGGAAGTGTATTTTTTATACAATTTTTTTTTCTGCACGTTTCAATTGACCGAAAAAAAATGGAAGATATTGTTTTTATTCACCAAAAGTGATTGAAGATAATTATGGATTGTATTTGGATAGATATTAAATTCCATGATTTTTGGGATGCAACAACAAAATATGCAATCATATGTATATATCTTATCACCTTAAGGATATATCGATTGCTAAAAAAAAAGGGAATATCTAATGCCTTAATTAACGGAATTATCAATTTCGTATTCCATTATCACGATTGTTTTTTAAAATTTGAATGAGATTACATAAATAGAAAGTCAAAAGTCAACTCAATTTATTTTAGATTTCTAAAAATGATTTTTACATCAACCTTTTTAGATATATATAGATGAGAGAATATTTCCATTGCATTTAATGTTGTCTTTTCCTCCTTTTATAGAAAATGTGAGGTCTTATTACAATGAGATCTAAAATCAGATTCAAACCTATTAGATCTAAAATCAGATTCAAATCAGATCCATCGCGAGATTCAACCTTGATTCATAGATCCATCGCGAGAGAACAGAATCCAGAGCAAATTCAAATCAGATCCTTGCCTATAGCAGCCCGCTGGCCTGATTACAGTAGAATCCAGCGGATTCAAATCAGAATACACCTATAGCAGCCCGCTGGCCCGATTGGACGAAATTCTTCACCATTTCATCGTCCGATTTCACAGGTAAAAGAGTTAGGGTTCTTTTTAAGAGGATAAAAGTAGTGATTTTGGAAATCAGTTTTGTGATTTTGGGGAATTAGCGTTCATCTCCCGATTGCAGCATTCAACCCCGATTTTGTGTTTTCTATTAATTATTAGATCCATGCCATCATCTTTCTATTTATTCTTTGTTTCCTCTATTTTGTGTAGTACAAATTATAGCTGAGGAATTCGGGTTCTTTTACTTTTTCTTCCTTTTTGTTTGTTTTTTTCTGTTTTTGGGTGATTCAAAGAGTTTCTGATGTCTAATTGCATGTTGTTTTCCCCCATTTAAAGTTCGATTTCTGATCTGTTATTCTAATATAATGTGCTTATGGCTTTAGTTTAATTGAATTTCGAATGTATAATTGAATTTCGAATGTAGTATGCTTATGTACGATTTAAAGAAAATAATGACACTTTGTGCTCTGTTTTGAGTTTGAGACATGGTGTCTGCTAAGACCGTCTCCAACAGTACCCCAAAACGCAAAAAGTGAGGGGATTTTGCTCCAACCGAATCACATTACCGATCCCAAAATGAGTTTTGATGTTTCTCTCTCCACAGAAAACACAAATATGCGTTTCAATGTGCTTGGACGCAAAAAAAAAATCAAAATTTTATTTATTATCCTTTTGCTTTGTATAATTGCATTTTGGACTTATTAAATATTAATATTAAAAATACATAAACCATCAAACTATTGCTAAATACATCATAACCTAGTTTTTACTTATTTAATAAATATTCTTTGATATTTATTATTATCTTTTAGAAAAATTATAAACCATATTAATATTAAAAATACTATAAACTTAACACATAACAAAGACATTAATATTATCAAATCAGTCATAAAATTGAAATATAGCATAAAACTACGAAAAATAAAAATACATTATAAATTATTGTAATTTTTTATTTTTCATCTTGTGTATTGTAATTTTCCATTTTATTTCGTGTGTTGTAATTTTAAATTTCTTATTTGTGCATTGTAATTTCTAATTTCATCTTGTGTATTGTAATTATTAAATTATCATCTTGTGTGTTGTAGTTTTTAATTTTATCTTGTGTGTAATTTTTAAATTTTAATCTTTAATTAAAAAAAAATTCTCCGATTTTATAATGTATATGATATGATTATAACTTTATGATTAATTTTATTACATAAATTCCAAATTGATTTAAGATAATAGTGTGGTTTAATTTGTAAAGTTGTAAAATATGTAGGTAATATTGAAAAGTTGTAAAAGTTGATGTAAAAGAGAATATTCCGAGAATATTCTTTTGGGTTTGAAAAGAGTTTTTCGGTTGGAGATGAATTACTGGAAAATGTGACAGTTACTGTAAAATGAGTTTGAGAATGAGTTTTTCGGTTGGAGATGGCCTAATCCTAAAATGTGGGTCTCTTTGTTGATAATTTTGTTCTACTTTGTTTTCTATTGGTTGATAATTGGGTTCCAAACGGTTTTCTATTTGTTAAACCTGTAATGATTGTGAAAATGTTATACGACAAATGTTGTATGTGTTAGAAGTTGATCTTCATGGTGCTTTTGGATTGGAAATTTATGGGAAAGTGGTGAATTTGATTCATCTTATTTCCTTGATTTTATGCTAAAATTAACATCAACGATTATGTTAAATTAGTTGAAATTGGTTGAAATAGAATAAGGTAAATATGGTGATTTGCTTAATGATACTTCCAGATCCAATATCGAGCAGCTTGACATGAAATAACAGGGAAAAAAGAAAGATACAGAAATAAGCCTTTATGTGATGCTATAATATAGATGTTTTAAATCTAATTTGAAACTGCCTGATGTTTGCAGTTTGACAAGGCTAACATTCAAAAGAAGAAAGAAGAAGAAAAGGTATAGCTATATGTCTGAAACGAATGCCCTTGTTCTATTCATTGAATTTGGGTATCGAGTTGTTGCTTGAATAATAACATTCCAAATTCAAACTTTATTTTTTTGAAGGTTTGAAAATGTCATAGACTTCAACCACTAAGAAATTTGGTGGAAGACCAAGTAGACTAAAGTATGAAGAGAAAATATGCGACCAATGTGGAATCAAACTTGCAGTTAGGATTGTTGGCTCCCGAAGTCCAAATTTTCAGAACTCTATTACGTTTGTGATAGACATGGATTTATTGGTTGGGCTAATCCAATAAATGAAGACGACGTAAGCATAATAGAAGAAGTTAGCACAAGCGAGAAAGCTATAGTAGATCGTGAGAGCTACAAAGNAGACCTTGCTAAAATTTTTGATTTATTACTTGTGTTATTTCTAGTAGTAATTGTAATGCTTGTTATTATTGTAATGAAATAAAAGAGTTGGTATTTTTACTACTTGGACATGAATAACTATTTTGTGATATGAAGGAAATTAATATTTACAATGTAGCATTCTTCTCATTTTTTTCCTTGGATAAGTTGGTTGCAGATTGTGTTTGTCAGTTGTTTACAATGTAGCATTCTTCCTTTTTTCCCTTGAAATTGGATCAAAAGAAAGAAATTTGTCTTTGTAATGTTTGGCATCACAAACCACAACACAAATCTATACATTCCCCTATTTTTTGCTCTTACCTCAAGAGAGGCATAAATGGAAAAGAAAATTACATTCAAATTGCACCTAAAACAAAATGTAATAAAGCTATAAACATATATCAGAACAATAATCTTATGTAGTCTTCTTTAAAATCATTATTGTTCCACAATAATGCTTCACAGAAAACATCTTTAATGCTATACAATCAATAGTCCATACAAAATATGTAACTCCAAACAAAATCCATAAGAACAGTACACAAAATGAATGTCACTAACAACACTCTTACACCACAATAAAGAGTCAATTTAAAAATAGATGAGACACTACAATTGCTAACATCCAATAACCATCATCTTCAATTATCGGAGGGTCCCTACAAAAAATAGATTAAAATGGTAAAGATTATAACATTATCCAGTATTAATTTACAAAACAATATATTTGGTGTGATGTACCTGTGATGAAAAGGGATCCACTTGATAACCAAAATGATTAAATGGACCTACATTGATGTTTCCATCTCCTCCCTACACATTAAAAAATAAATAGATAAAAAAGTATTAATTTTATTGATATTCTTGTAGAACAAAGTAATAAAAGCATCATGTACCTCTTGATTTATGTTAGGTCAAAGCATCAGAGTCGGAGCCGAAGATGGATAATGTGAAACATAATTTGAGGGGCATGTGTTCACATCATTTTGAGAAGATTGAGTCGGGCCACCTAAATTAGTGTTACACTTTCTCATATCTCTTGCAAAGATTGTAACAATATATAACAATACAACAGGGAGATAAGTGAACAACAGAACCACAACAAAAGTAAACATTACTTGAAATAGTAGTCAATAAATAAATAAACAAAAGAAAGAAAAACACCACAGATTGATTCAAATGATTAAGTTGCCAATGCTGCCATATGAGACACTTTATATTTAGACGTACACAAATATATGTGCATATAAATTAGTAAATCACACAGACCAACAAACAAATGTTGTATTGTGAACTCAAAACCAAAGAAAGACAAAGTATTCCAGTGATAAATCAAGACGTCTCATATTGCATCAAAAAACCCTAAAATCCGCTTGTCAAACAACATAACCAAAAAACCATAAATCAAATATCGTGGTTACCAGTCAGACATCTCATATTGCATTAGAAACAAGACTAAAAAAAAAAAAAAAAAAAAAAAAAAAAAAATGCAGCCCATAAAAACCACGGGACCTTCAGAGAAATAACAGAAATTCATGTTTGAAAACTATACACCATCACATTGGTACTACAAATTTCGAAAACCCCATGTACCTGTGAATCGGATGAGAATGTTGCAATCGGGATGAACTTTCTTCAATCGGGCGAATCCCTCGTGGCTCGCTGGAAACGGGTGAGATTCTTCAATCGGAAAATCAGATGAGATGCTACAATCGGGTAGGCCGATGGATTTCTCTTGCAGAGAGATGTTTTCTCGTGAAATCGGACGGGCGATGAAATTTTCTTTTTAGTTCTCTCGGAATTTTGAAATGGAAATTTTCATATCCAATTTTTAGTTCTCTCGTGAAATCGGGCGGGCGATGAAATTTTCTTTTTAGTTCTCTCAGAATTTTGAAATGGAAATTTTCAGATCCAATTTTTAGTTCTCTCGTGAAATAGGGCGGGCGATGAAATTTTTAGATTTGGAACATCGACTAAACCATGGTTACTTGTAAATTTAAAAAAAGGCTGAAATACGTCTATCCAGCTGGAAATTGTTGTAAAGGACTGGGAAAAATTGAAATAAAATCTGAAATGGGTTCCGTCCACGTGGCACGCTGCTATAGGTGTACAGTAAAAACGGGTGCCACCCTCGCGGATGGCATCGACTTAACCTTAATTCTTGATATTATAAAGATATCTAGGCACCACATTTATTGCTTTGTTTTCTTTTATGAGAGAATATTCTCATTGCATTTAATTGTTGATTAATTTTTCTTATTTGCTTGTGTTTGATTTAATTGTCCTAAGTGTTAAGTCATAAGTGTGCTTTTGTGGATTATTTGCCTAAGTGATGGTGCTATGGAGCTATCGGATGGCTCGGCTTATGGAGTCATCCACACTTATTCACCAATAGTATATTGCCACGTGTCCTGCAATAAATACACGTTGGACCGGTGTCAATACATTAAGTAGTGGATGGCTCCATAGAATTTTTGAATGGACTATTTGCTTAAGTGATTTATTGACTATTTATCTAAGTGTCTATGTGATTACGTGTCAATTTGATTATTCGATTAAGTGCATAAATGCTTTTTGATTATGTACGTATTTGAATATTTGATTAATGTGCTTCGTGCTTAATTTGGTGCCAAAATTTCATGTTTATTTTATGCTAAGTGTGTTTTGTGTGATTTAATATATTTTATATGCCCAAGTGTGATCAATTGTGTTTTATTCGATCAATTTAAGTTTTGTAAATTTTGCCTAAGTGAATTATTGTGTCTAAATATAATTGGTTGTGTTGTGTTCAATTTTATTTTGTGGTTGGATTTTTTTTGTGCCTAAATAACTAAGAGTAACATGGCCCAAGTCTTTTTATTTTCAGCCCAAGCAACCCTCTTAATTTCCAGCCCAAATTTTCCATTTAGCAACCCATGTAGCTCATCTTTCTCAGTCCATCGAATCGTGGAAATTGGTCAGGATGACCCTATGCAGATAACAAATTGTGTAAATAACCCTTGACCAAATTTTGACGATAAAACTTAATAAGATATCATATTAAATAAGAAGTTACTAATATGCCCTTAAAAAAGCACAACTTACCTCATTTGTCCTCTTCTCCTTCCACGCAAATCATCTTCATAGCTCTCTGTTCTTCTCTGAAAATTTCTGCTCGCGCACGATCGACCTGCTTAGCTCTCTGTTCTTCCTTCACGTGAAAAATAACTTAGCTCTCTGTTCTTCCTTCCGTCCGACCTGCTTCTCTCGCGCACGATCACTATGGAACTCTCTCTCGTCAATTTTGGTACGTATATTTTTCGATATTTGTCAATTAGTCACGGTATTTAATTTCTTCTTTCTTCCTTCCTTTGATTGTGTTATGTGAATTCATCTAATTTTGCTAGTTTTGATGAAATTGAAGATGATAATTGGTGCACTCTATGTGTTTGATGAAATGTTGGCTATGCTACTTGTTGTATACTTGGAACCAATCAATCTATCTTTGTTATATTACACTAGAACGAATGTACACTCGTTATAGCATTGCAATACTTATAACGAAACTCATAAATGAGATAACGATACTTGTTTCTTTATAGAAATTGATAGAATCCATTAAAAATGACTTAAATTAGAATTATAACGAGTAAAATATCGTTATAACGTATTAAATAGCGAAGGTATAGGTGTATCTAATCGAGGAGGATGGAAATATAACCATAACGAATGTACATTCGTTATGTTGGAAATCATAACGAATGTACTCTTATTATGGTTATTTTGATTGAATGACGTGTTAACGATTCTATCTCCGTTATATATGATATTAGGACGATAGTTTGAACTCGTTATAGTGTCAAAATACTCATAACGAAACTCATTTTGTGAAATAACGATACTAGTTTTCTTGTTGGAAATGGATAGAAAAAAATGACTAACGAAGGTGAAGATCATTTACTTGAATGACTAAAGTAGAATCGTTCTAGTTGTATTCGATCAAAAAATAACCATAACGAAAATATCAATAGTTAAAGTAGAATCGTTCATTAGTTATGTTGAAAATCATAACGAATGTGTGTGATATTGATGTAACGAATGTTGTACTTCTTAAAATCTTTATCATAATGTATCCTTTATAAAAGAAGCTCGATATAGAATAAAGAATCGTTTTATTAGTATCCTTTAGAAATGAGTTTAACTTATAACTTTAACGAGTAAAATATCGTCATAATGTATTATATTGTGAATGTATAGGTGTATTTAATTGACCGAGATGAAAATATAACTATAATGAAGATTAATTTGTTTTGGTGTATGAAATAACGAATGTACATTCTTATGTATTATAAAATAAGAATGGTTGATTTAGTGTTATAAAATTTGATGTTTGATAAAAAAAACATTCTTATGTATTAAATTAAAACCAATACCGAGAGTACTTTACAACAATTGTTATAGTCATTTTGGAAACGACATTATATACCTAATTTAAGCTCCTTGTTTGATCTATTTAAGTTCAGTGTTAGTACTTGTTGCTTGTTTGATCTATTATGACTTATGTTGTCTTTCTTTTCTGTTTTTAAGAACCAAAAAGGAAGCGTTTGATATACCTTCCAAATGCTGTAACGCCCCGATCATTATTGTAATATTAAGACGATTTCACTGCTCGACTTTTAAGTGAAATTCGTAATTTTCAGAAATTCAAGATTTATTTAATTTATATGCTCAATGCTCAATTATGTTAGATTATTCGTTAGAATT